CACACACACACACACACACACACACACACACACACTACACCACACACAGTGTTAGCTACTGTGCTTGAGCAACCTTACGTGTCACTTTAAATGATGAAATTATTGTCCACTGAGTTTAAATGATGGCTGATTAGAGAGAAAAAATACACTAGAGGCGTTTAGTCTGACTCCCAGTGTCCTCTGTGAGATTCTGTTGAGGCACAGTGGTGCCCTAAATTGAAAGTAGTAGAGGACAGCTGAGGCTGAAGAAAATGTCATTAGTGTTGTTTTAAGAAGCTGGTATTCTGACCTGATCATCACATTTGAAGTCAGGGCAATAACCGACAGAAAAACACACATTTTACTGCAACTGAGATCACTCTAAGCCTGTTTTTAGTTCTCGATGAAAAGAAAGAATCCTTTAATACTGTTTGTGGGATCATTTTTTGGAATTTCCTGATGACGACCCACAAAAACTCACAGCTTTGCAAAACGATCAGTAATATTCAGTGAAACCTAAGTACACGGATCAGTCTGATCCCTACTGAACCAGTTTCACCAAAACAGTAAATMAGTTCCATTTGCTGAGTCATGGATCTCCAAAGCTTTAAGATTCATTCCATGAAGACAAGCACGTACAAAATAAATAAATTGAAGTTTATTCAATATTTAAGCAGATCTTTCAGCCTGGAAAAAAATGGGGCAGTAATAAAGGCGYGCTCATATTTCTCTTACTTTAACTTCTCTCCTCTGGGTCCATGTAAAATTCAGACTGGAATTTAAAATCACATCTAACATACAAAACTCTCAAAAACCAAGCTCCATCTTATATCAAAGATCATATTGTTCCATGTTCATGTAACTGATTTTTCACAATGTTCTCTATGTGTGAATGTAATGTGTTATAACAGGAATTAGATGACTGTAACTGGATTTTTTAAAATCTGGATCTGAACTGGAATTGTAATGTGTAATTGTGATTTTTCTTCTTTATGGAGCTCTAGGATGACTTATGATGTAAATGGGTGTTCTCAATGAAATTAGGTTATTGYAGGCCAATTATGGCAGCTACAGGAATTTGCTGCAAGCGTTAGCATTAAAAAAGAAAACAACTGTAATATTTGTACAAAGGTTTATGACTTTGTATGCTCATTAGTTTTCTAAAAAGTAGCAGTTTAGGAAAGCGTTAGAGTTAAATGATTGCATTTTATTTAATCTGAGTTAAGGCTGGTTGTTTTCAATTATGAATAGAAGTCTAGTAATATAAATGTACTTTTGAAGACTTATCCTCATTTATCCAATAAATGTGCAGGCCAGGCAGACATRCCCAAAAAAGAATGTTTACATGAAAATAAAACAATCTGAACTTCACCTATTCAATTCTGTTTTAAAAAAAAAACTCTACACTTAACCTTGGGCACAGTTGACTGGCTGTGGAATTCAATAAAACGCAGCAGAACAAAAGGAATGGTAATATCAGAGAAATGTGAAAAGAGGGTGGAGGAAAGCAGGCAGATTGGGAACATCAGGCCCAGAAGGTCATGTAATGGAGTTAGGCCAAGATAAAAAAGAGGCACCAGCACTCCCAACAGGAGGCCTGGCCTGTTTTATAGCAATCATTTTGGCTCAGCCTACTGCTCACACCCGCAGGCTACATTCATTTAGGGGACCACCAACTGTCTCAGGTGTTTTTTATGGGCCAAAATGGGCCACTCATTCCTTGCTTCCCTGCCACGACAGAGCCCTGCTCTGCATTTTTCATCAAAGTGCCCCAGGCTATATTACAGTTCTAGATAAAAAAAAAAAAAAGACCCAGATTTGGATTTTCAGAGGAGTAACACTGAGTGCAACCTTGAGAATATTCCATTGTGCTGTATGTGCTNTGCTAAGAACCTGCAAAAAAAATGACATATTTGAGATATTGAAGTGTGAATTAGGATGGAGGGAACAGCACACAGAAGTTGATAGCTAAAAAAAAAAAGTTGAATTAAACAGAGAAGAAAGTATTATTTCACTCTTAGCTTCATGGAATTTAATTTAAATAAATCAAGGCTGGAAAAAAACACAAAACATCAAAACTTTACTGAAAGTTATGACTGCTGTAAGGAGACACTCTTGGTAAAGAAGTGATGAGCATATTGTGTGTGAGGCTGAGGAGACTTAAATACAGGGGAGAGAATGTCAAGCATTATAACAGCTCTGTGGCTGCATGAAGTTTTGTAACAAGGCAGGGCCTAAATCAGCCGGTGCAGCCGGAGCCTGCTGACTGACCATGTGAGGAGGAAATTGGGTTTGAAGGGGTAAGACTCAGAAAAGTGAAGGGTTACCAGGCGGGACTAGTAAGATTTGCAAGACTCGGGGATAATAAGCCACACCGCCAAGGGGTTATATCTCACGCCTGGTTGCGCTTGACTGTGATTGGAGCAACGAGGAGGAGGGAGGGAATAGAAAAAAATAACAAGAACCAAGAGAGGCTGGTAGKGGAGCTTGATGAGAGCCAAGTCTTTGATCACAGGGTGAAGAATTACCAGCTCAATGCTTGCAACTGCAGGGTCCCAGCCCCCAAAGCGCTAGGAGAAAATGTTCACATTGAAAATATCAGCTTCTTTCGCCCAACACTCATTCATTTATTGGCAAACTACTGCACACTCAGGACTGGATGCACACAAACAAATCGCTTTGTTCTTCTGACTTGCCGTGGGCGAGCTCTCATTAGAGTCGTTGCTGTGGAGCAAAGGGGTTTGTGACCTGCGGTGGCATAGTTCCCCCCAACCCCCACACGCACACAAAGGACACACACTCTAAATGTCAACCAGTGTTGACGCACTGAAACTGAGGAAAAGAAGCACTGGTCAATAGTATCTTTGAGGTAGAACAATGCCTTTTTGACCATGCAATTTAGGGGGAATAAAAGCCTGGTAAAACTTTCAGAAACGTAATTAAAATTGCTATTAATCAAAGGACCAGTTTATTTAAAATGACACAACTATCTTATAACTGTAATTCCGTTGCGCTCTGTTACAATGACAATAAAGGCATCATCATCATCATCATCATTATTGGTGGTTTATTTATATCATTATATATGGTGGTTTATACAGTTTAATGATATAAATAAAATATATAAATTGGAATTGAAAAAGGCRCCAGGATTTTCAGAATATAGATTAAACACAATTCAAACATAGAAAGTAATAATAAAAATACAGATCCAACTTACATATGTTTACTTATTGTGTTGAAAATTGTCCCTGTCTCTGTTTGCTTTGAATTGTGAAAATCCTATCAAACYGCAGTTTGTGACATCTGAAAACTGTGATTGTGCTGAAAACACGAGTGTTAGAACTTGTCTTTTACTAAGTAATTTCTTTAAGTGTTATTGCAAAACTGTATTTTTATTTTTATTTTCTTATACTCACTACAAAAGTGTCTCCTGGGGAATGAAATATGTCAAAACTTCTATATATTTTTTTCAGCAATAGCCTAACAGAAGTGTTTGAACAATACTCAGTTCTAAATCTTGCCCTCAGGAGAACCCCTGAAGTATCCTTCTGGCTGATGGAGTTGTATGCCGGATGATGGGGGGGTTTCCCACTTGTTGAGTGAAGGGGTGTGAGATGTGGAGGGAACATACAGCTTTGATCCTTCCTAATCCTCAAAGGAGAGGGGTGAGCAACCATTTTGCACCAACAACATTCTGCATATGTGTATGTGTTCTGCTGTTTAGTTGCCTAACTGCAGAAACCTTTAAAATGAGAGCTCGCAGGCTTCGTGTGAGCATATCTTTTAAGCTGTATTAAAGAAGMGCACAGTGGTGGTGGAGAGATGTTAAAGAGATTGAACAATTTCCTGAAGTGTGGTCTGTATTAGGTTAAAGTGATTTCAGTTTGGAGGAATCATTATGGAGTCAAGCTAAMTGCTACTCAGAAGACAACCTATTCAAAAACAATTCTCCACTAAAAACAACAAATCTAAAAAAGGAAAAGATAAAGCCAGCAATAAATGTTTTATTACACATTTTTATACTGTATCACCTTTGCATCAGATTGGTGCAAAGACATACTGCAGATTGTCTTGAATCCTGTTGGAACAGGACTCATGATTTGTGCAACACGTTTCATGTGAAACACAAGATGCAAACCCAATTTGCAAAAGAAATAATAATAATAATAATAATAATAATAATAATAATAATAATAATAATAATAATAATAATAATAATATCAGGCTAAAACATTGGAAATATCTCAAGTTTGACACATGTTTTTTTGGCAATAAAGTTTTACTTCAAAATGGTCATTGTTTGGATTAGCATTAGCCTGACTCTGCTATGAACTTTTCTCCCTGATTCTCCAAATTGAAATAGCGGGTTTCTATCTACTGTAAGTAAGATATTGACTATTTGCTTTCCCCATAAATAATTGCTAAATAATCGGTAAAATGCACGAGTGAACTCCTTTTTCAATATGACAACATTGTTAAATCAGACAGCTATTTTAAATGCAAAATCTACTTTTTTTTAGCCGTTAAATGCATTTTGTTGTGCACCTTTTTTAGTTTTCGAATCCCCTCATTTCCGCCTTCAGGAGAGACACAAAGCTTTCACGAGGGAAAGATTCTGTATACGGTGAACTATGACTCATGTGCAGTGTGGATAAACAGATTTTGGCTCTTGAAAACAAGCTGGTTATTCTTTTTTTTTCCCTCTGAATTGTTATGTTGGGTTTTCACTGAGAGAAATTGCGAGTGCAGTGCTGCCATCATTCCCACCCCACACCCCCATTATTTGCCATGAAGCCCACTGTGATGGTGAAAAGGAGGCCACATTTGAAGTGATTACATTTTCGAGATGGACCTTTGTGGGCGGAATCGTCTCAGAGGATGATRTGTTTGTATAGGAGAGAAGAGGCACAAGCACACAAATAAAGGCAGAGAGTTGTTTGTGGAACTATTTATATATATAAATTCATAAAAGCACACTCACAGGTGTTTTTTTGGTATTCCACCCACAGGTAGGGATTGCAGCGCCACTGTGACAGTCCAGGCAACGTTGGGACAGCTCCAACTCTCGCGTCGCAGTCCCCCGCCCTGTACGGCGAGATTTAGCAAGGCACTCGGAGGGGTGGTGAAAATTGGAGCACATTCATCTCAATAGCCTGCCTGCCAGCACTAATGGATGTTAGCCTGTTTCGGAGAGACAATGAAATCGAAGAAAGACGGGATTTCTGGCTCTTGTGGACATGAGGGAAAATCACAAATACATTTAATCCCTTTGTGCTTCTGTGTATATCATACACGATTTGAAATTCAACAACGGCTTCTGAAAGCAAGTCTTCCCCCCCACACCCCCATTGGTTCTAAGCCCTAATGTGTCAGTCGTCAGCAGTCACTTTGAATTGTAGTATTTATTTAGACATCTACCCATCTCCACATTGGCTACTGTTTGTCTGAAATCTCATAGCTTATTTCCCACACGGGAGAAAAAAATACACCAACAGTGATGAATTCATTTTGATTCATTATTTGTAAACGACTCCCAAAATTGTGCATTCGTTTTTAAAAGTAAATTTTTTTATATTCTAAAGCTGTTCAGTAGCATTTCTTTTTTGGGCTTTAACCTTTTCCAGAATATAAACTCTTATTCTTTATAGCTTTCACGAGAGTCTGACTTGTTTACTGATTTTGTTTCTCTTTTCACCATTTCAAACAATATTTGTCATGTTTCTCTTTATGTGTTCTGTCTCTTCCTGCAGGGACAAAAGTCCTCTTGGGACTGGATAGGAGAAAAACCATAAAGTAACTGAGGGAACTATCTGTTCTGCCAATTTGCTGCTCAGTTTAGGAATCCAGCAAAAAAAACCTCTTCTTTCTAAGACTAAAATAAAATTACTATTTCATTTGAAAATTTAGAAAATGCCAAAATTGTTGACTAAAGTAGTGCTTCTAAACCACTTAATGTCAATTTAGTATCAAGACAAACATCTTAGCAAATGTATTATAAGCAATTACAGAAGTCCTAATTATATGTAGAATTTCCATATGTTTGAGCATCAGTGAGGGTTAATAAACGGGTCTTTCTCATTCTTTGATTTGAATCCATAAAAGGTGTTGGAGTGTAGATGCTTCTGCAGAAACAAAGAGAGCCATGTTTCCTCTTGCTGAGTAAAGTTCAGCAGCACATCTGCTTACCTGCAGTTGTTTTCATCTTTTCTCTCCACACAGCCAGATTGGTATACATAAGTGCAAAAACACCAAAGAAACACAGACGCATCAACAGAAACCAGATAGGACTCTGTAATAGAGAAGGTGGTGGATAAGCAGTTTCACAGTTGTACAGTTTTTAATTAGAGTGCGTAGTTTAGGTAGAAGATTATTCCTTTTATTTAGGGGGATTGAGCAAACTTGACCGGCTGCGTGTTTAGTTAACATCTTACCATCCTTGGATCCAATTAGAATATGTTTTCAAGCTGCTTGTCATCTTGATTAAACAGTCACCATGGGGAGTCTGCTGAAGAAACATTTTGTGTGGGAGGGAAAAACAAGGACAGACATTAATACAAATTGTCAGTGAAGAACTAAGCGGATGATATCATGCTGACTGCAGTAATTCTTATTGATGTTGACGTTCCCTCGCCTATATGTCTGCAGATTTCTCTGTTTTTCTGTTTGAGCTGAGAAAACCTTAAAATTCTGAAGACTTTAGCATAAATACAAGTGCATATACATTGTAACACCAGGACATTTTAGTTTCTATTTAGCGCAGCTGGTAAATGATTCTCAATCAGACCACATGATCTCAAAATAAGCAAACTCAAAATACAGCAAAAATTAGATATTTTGCTAACAGACCAAAAAGGATTGACTCCCAAGAATTAATGACAGGCTTTTACGCAAAAATCAACACCATGCACACTCATATTATGTGTTGGAGATGATGCTCAGCTACTTCTACACCACATTTTTTTCCCAATCCTGTCAAACTGAAAAAAAAAATACTGCAAAATGTTTGCAAACTTTGCTTTGTTGTGGTGGATATCTTGAATTCGTCTAACTCCAAATTTAATCAGTTGTAGGTGTCAATCCAATGATCACTACCTGAAAGTTTCATTAAAATCCATTCTGTGGTTTTTGAGATATTTTGCTAACACTACTAAAAAGAGTGAACACACCATTGCTCTGCCTTTGGCAGCAGACAATAATAAATAAATATATGTATCCATTCATGCATCATACTTAACTTGGTGTTGTTTTACAAACAAATATGCAACATGTATGTGTTCTAGCTTTTAAAATGAGGGAAATAGATCATTTCAGATTAGTGTGTTAGCACAATCCCAAGACTCAGCCGYGAGCCTCGTGTGTTTAAGTGATCATGCTTATCACTGATCACCCTCCTGGGTTTAGGCGTGTTGACTCGTTCCTATTAATTTCTCCTCCTCCATCACTAGTTAGTGAAGATGATTCCTCTCAGGTCTGCCTCTGTACTCCCTCCACCTCRCAGGTGAGTGAAATTGAGCTCAAATTGAGCCCTTGTTTCAGAATCAGCTCCTGGGATGAAACAAATAATAACAACGATTAAAAAAAATTAATTTTGTCTCAATAAATGTAAACGAGGTTTGCACATTTTTAAGCGCCGGCCCTTCTTTGTCGATAAATCACGCTGCTTCATTTTGGATTTTTCAGATAGAACTAATCAACTGATTTCCCTCGCTCCCAGCCAAATGCTACCTTTGATTTATCTCGGATCATTACCACTGTAAAATATCCTGTCTCTTCAAGGTTGGCATGATGAATCGGGGCCATTGACAGTGAGCTACAGACTCAGAGAGCTATTTGCACAACAGCTGGCGTTCAGATCTGCCGTTCTCTCGCATGTGGCTCCATAAATTTTACATTTAATCTCATTGTATCGTCGCAAAGAGAAACAAATAAATTCAATAGATAACACTGTGATCCGGCTGTAAAATGAGGGACTAACACAATGTTGTCAGATGTTCATGCTACTTTATTCATTGTGCACATGGAAATGACCTGCACTGTTCAGCACGCTAAACAATCTGCTGTTTTTAATTTTTTTTAGCTTAACTAATACTCTGTTACAGCTGTGCCAGATGGAGAACTGAGCAAAATGTTGCAGCTTCTACTAATGACWGGAGATTTATCAACAAGCGTTGTGTTCTRTGTAATAAGGAAAAATAAAATCATTTCTGTTTAAAACTGTAAGATTACAAAACTAGCGGAGTATATTGTCATTCAGCCACTCTACATTCATCACTTCTCTATATTTGTGTGAAATCTACTGTATATTCCCTTCTGAATAAAATCAGAGTTTGTGAGGTTTGCAAAGCGTCGCTTTCATTTATAATTTACAAAACCTCCCAACTTGTCAGAACTGGGGCTGTTTTTAAGAAGGCCAAACTTTTTGGAAGTAAAAAACAAGCAAAAAGAGGTCTGTAATCTATTGCACAGTATTGCACAGCAAATATGGCAGTGATAAATGAATACTATTGGTGTTGATTTAACAGCAAATACTGTATGTGAAGCACAAATTGATGGTGCTGTGTAAGAACAAGGCAGAATATGATTAAGCTGCATGCTGGATGTGATTACACTCTGATGATTTTTCAATAGAAAATTAATGAAAAATGGARGTGATTGTTTCATTTTCAGTTAAATGAGTTTGTTCATGGTTCCTTACATGTGTAATATAGTGAGGCTCTAGTGCACGTGTCAAACCCACAGGCAACCTCTGTGTGGCCCACCAAAGAGTTACCCCCACCCTCCAGGGATTTTTAAAAAAATTAAATCATTAACTTGATCTTACATCAATGATAAACTTAAAAATTATGATTAAATTTAAAASGTGAAAGATAACACCTGTCCTGCCTCTGAGCTGTTGGCTTTAAGTAACTGTGTCCTCCAAATAATTTAGTTCAACAGCCCTGTAATATCTCCAAATAGGCTGCTTTAAAGCCAGCATTGACGATAAACTACATTTCCCATAATGCATGTTGGTTGTGGGACCTCCCTGTCAGAAAGTGGGAGATTTCAGAAATCAAGACTACAACTTAACAGTGAGTAAAACTCTTTTATTTTTCAGAGTTGTAAAGTAACTAAATACAAATACTTTGTTACTGTAATTAAGTAGAAATCTTGGTTATCTGTACTTTACTTGAGTAATTATTTTTCAGCGTACTTTTTACTTTTTCTCATTACATTTTTACACAATTATCTGTACTTTCTACTCACTACATTTTTAAAAAAGGTAAAAAGTAGTGAGTTGTTACTCCTATTTTATTCCGAGTTGTTAMTACTTAAAAAAAATACTATTCTGTTAAAGTGTGTCTCTTGGATAGAGTGAATTTAATTGTGGTTGGATGAGAAATATAAATATATACCATTCTGACACCATATTATCTTGTACACAACCCATCACAGCTGCACGCTGTTAGAAAAAAAAAATTTTTTGGACAAGTCACCTCCCAATAAATGTCATCTAACTGCTCACTTTTATTCAGTACTTTTACTTTTAATACTTAATAAGTAGATTTTGTGTCAGAAATTTACTTTTGATACTTGAATACAAAAAATATCAAATACTTTAAGACTTTTACTCAAGTAATATTTTTAGAGAAGACTTTAACTTTTACCACAGTGTTTTTATGATAAGATACTTGTACTTTTACTCAAGTATCACTGGGAGGTACTTTATATAATACTGTTATTTTAAATAGTATTTCTGTTTTATTTATTTCACATTTAACCAGTCATACAGGTACTTTTCAGTGTTTATAAGAGGACATGTTAAAACACTGAATCAGTGCAGGAAATACCACGTAGAGCTCATTGTTAGCGGTGCTCAGCCACAGCAATGCGACGAGGAACATAATGCTCCCTGTTTAGTCAAAATTAAACACGAAATGTCAGATTTAATTACAACTGGTCCTTTGACGGCCACCATAACGCTTATGTGGTCCTCTATGAAAACAAGTTTGACACTCCTGCTATAGTGTGTAACTGTGTTTTATTTTTTTCCTTCATGAAGTTAACAWAAAGTGCATTTTTTTCAGTCTGAGAGTTACCCCATCACTTAGCCTGAGCTGCTCCTGTAAACTGCAAACAACACGCTCTAACAAACCCAATTAAGAGAGCGGTACAAGTGATGGTACAACCTCTCCCTGATAAAACAGCTAATACCATCCATCTAATCAAACATGGAGGCATAAATCTAATCTTGTAGCTTCGGGGCAGACCTGGAGGCGAGCTGGCCGCACCCTTCCTCCCTTCAGGCCAGACTAGAACAATTACTGCCGCTGCTTCACGCGCAGACCTGTGTCACCGGCGCAATTAACAAGCTCCGGAAGTGCCTGGGCAACCGGCAACGGCTAGGCTGTGCACACAGCATGAATGATGAGAGGAACGAGGACGGATGGGAAACAAAACGGGGAGAGAAAGGCGGAAATGTGAGGATTGTGTTGGTTTGCTAAGCTTTAGTGAAAACTTACTGTGTGCTGACGTCAAGCTGAAATAACCCACATTTGAAACACTTTGAGGCGACATTTYGTCAACTTTTTCCCGTCGTTTTTGTATTTGACAAGGTAAACAGTCCCGTGCTGGTTTTACATGCCCCATTCGGGATGAAGTTTTGTAACGCTAGCTCGCAAATGCAATCTCTTGCTCCCACTCTTTTGCATTCGACATTCATCCTTGTTGTGAGGATGATTCATCACCGCTGTGACAGAGAGAGTGTAATGTGGTACAGCTCCCACAAGCAAAGGCGCTGGGTTATCTGGGTGGAATGTTCATTTCATTCCGAGGCACGTTTCATTATCAGCTGAAGAAAACAGAACATMCTGGTTTCCAACCACTGCAGCCACGCCATCTGGATAATCTCTATTACCTTAGAAGTGACCGCTTTTATTACCTTGTATACTGTGGCCAAGGAGAAAAATAAAATGTCTCTACAAGCATGGCTTAGCGTTGAAAGTTTGGGTGGTTTTGCCTCCTGTGGGGGAAAAATGCATTTATATAATTTACAACAGTTTATTTATGTAATGAACTATGCTTGTAATTCAAGATATAATTGTTTTAATTTCAGCAAGAGGCAGGGTGGGTGGGAGTATGGTGATTTCTGTTTATTAGAAAGTTGACCTTATTTTGTATTCTCCCCTCTATTTAAACTAGGCTATGAACCCTCTCATCTGCTGGTCTTTTGATCCTAATATCCCCTTAGTCCCACGCCGTCATTTCATCCTCTATAATTCCTCTACTTATTCAAGCAGGATGCTGCAAAAAGACGGCAGAGAATCTAGAGAGAGGGCCTTAAGGTATCTTTGCTGAATCTAGTATGAAAGAGCGATGGAGGCTGTCTGGGGCAGAGATGGATTCCTCAGCCCGTCTCGTCTCCACCCAGTCATTGTTCATGAACCCGAGTTGCCAGAATGCTGTCTGTACCTGCCACTTCTGACAGATGTCTGCTGCCAGTCAGTCTGAGATGGTCCACAATATCCATCCTCTTCTCGCTGGCTGGATCTCATATGAGTCACAAAAAAAAAAATGATGGCTGAAAAAAAAAAAGAGTAATTCATTTTCTGCTCTCTTTCCACAGATGTGCTTCAGCCTTTTGTTGGACACATAAAATGAAAGTAAAAAAGACATTCTACGCTATTTCAGAACTGGGTTTTTATGCAACGGAACATAAAAATATCATTTAATACCATGTCCTAAAATCAGGCAATTACTACCTCAAATAAATGAAAGACATTACATTGAAAAAGCTGTAGAATTCAGAWGAAGCCACATTTCTAAAGCTTCTCGCCATTTAAAACAGTAATAATTTGATTTTGTGCACCACATTATCAGCCTTTCACATAGAGGGGAAGCATATTCAGTCCGTTCGTTTTAAAAATGTTCCTTCAGCTCACTTAGGTAAGAAAGGATTTCTTCATGAACAGCACTTCAGTCCAGGTTAAGGTTTGGACTTTGAAGTGGTCATTGCCACACCGCTGTCATTTATTTGTACC